AATGTCACTCTACTCCAGGCAACAAAGTGAGACTCTGTCTCAAAAAAAAAAAAAACTTTTAATGTTTCTAGGGTACAAAGACAGCCTCCCAAGAATTATGTCTTAGAACAAAAGGTAGAAGCTCCTTCTAGATGTACCCCAGAGACATTAAGCAAATCAGCCTTCTGGAAAACAAAGAGCAGCAATGGACCACAAAGAGCAGAATCTAGAGAGCCACTACTCAAATGCGGCAATTCAAATCAGATAAAATTAAAAATTAAGTTCCTCAGTCGCACCGGTCACATTTCAAGTGCACAAAACCTACACGCTGCAGGTGTGATACCATAACGGACAGGAGAAATACAAAATATTTTCGTCGTCGCAGAAAGTTACGAAACGGCACTGGAGCGAAGGTTCCAGCTGTGTGAGCTAACCCGAGGTGCCTAGAGCAAAAGACCGTGGGCTGGTCATCCCAAGCCACACAAACGCTACTTTCTATGAGTGCCATGAGTGTCGGCGCTCAAAATGTTAACCTCCCATTTGTCATCTTACTAAGTTTTGTTACTCAGGTTTCAATCAATGCCCACAACAGGCGGGGACGACACCTCCCCCCTCCCACCAATTAACAGGATGAGAGGAGGCAGTGGTGAGTCGGGCAGACCATGGTTCAAATCCCTGCTCCGTCATTTTACTACCTGAGAGACCTTAGAAGCGTTCCCTAAATTCTTTTTTTTTCTTGGAGTCTCACTCTGTCGCCCTGGGTAGAGTGCCGTGGCGTCAGCCTACCTCACAGGAACCTCAAACTCCTGGGCTCAAGCGATCTTCCTGCCTCAGCCTCCCGAGTAGCTGGGACTACAGGGGTGCGCCACCACGCCCGGATAATTTTTCAATTTTTAATAAAGACGGGGGTCTCGCTCTTGCTCAGGCTGGGCTCGAACTCCTGAGACCAAGCAAATCCTCCCTCAGCCTCCCAGAGTGCTAGGATTACAAGCGTGCACCACTGCGCCGGGCCAGTTCCCTACATTCTCGGTTCAATTTATTCACCGTTAAAGCAAGGATAATAAAAGCATTTACATCACAAGAGTTGCTGGGATAAAAATTAAGTTCTTCCGTTAACTTGAAAGGGATGCAAGTAACCGGGAATGAATGGTGAAAACAATTATTCGCAGATGAGGAATTTGAAGCTAGGCTATCGGGGGGTGGGGGTGGGGCAGGCCGGGAGACCTCCGTCTTCGGCCGGTGGCCCGTGCAGGCCCGGCTACGGCAAATCGGTCCCTTCCATGATCGCCCGGAGTTCCTGCCTTCTCCGCCCCCCACCCCCAACAACCCCGAAAGAACGGGGTTCGGGCCACTCAGTCCAAACCGTTGGGGCCGCCCGGAGGGCCCGAACCTCGTCATGTAGCCGGGTTCCAAGCCCACCTTATGGGGCGTCCCTGGGTCCCGTATCCAGGGATCAAGCCCGAGGAAGTTATCCCACAACTACAAGCCAAAAGCCTGGGGAGAAGCAAGCGCCCTCCTCACCTAAAGCCAGTGGGAAGCGACCGGGCTGGCCTCCGCCGAAGTTTCGCTAGTTACCTCAGCACACCTCAGAACGCACAGACGCCAACTGCCGCTTCGTGAGGCGCTCGAGCTCCCCGCCAGAGCCAAGGACCCGGCCTGCTCCTATTGGACACCAGCCGCAGCGGGCGGCCAATAGCCTCTCTTCTTCTTCCATGGGTCCCCGCTCACTGAAACAGCGATGCTCTCATTGGCTGATCGTACGCAAACTGACTGGGCGGCACCACGTGCAAGGAAGCCTCGTACCATTGGTAGAAATCAATGCCCATCACCTTGCACCCGGCCCCCGAGGAGCGGAGCGGATGACGATTTTTAGCGCTCTTTATTTGAACTTTCGGGCGGGAGAAAGTTGTAAGATTTCTTGCACCAATCCAGAATGGAGATGAAAATAATCAAAACTGTGGTTCCTGCTGCTTCTCCCTTATGCTTTAGTGAAGGAGCTATATTATCCAAAGGCTAGCAGTTAATCGAATAATTT